CATCCTTACTTCTTTTAGTCCCTGCGAAGATGGGCTTTATCTTCCCATCCTTGATGTCTTGCAAGTACTTTGAGCAGCTTCTCTTCCAATGCCCCTTGTCTTGGCAATAGAAGCACATTGCTTCCTTCGGATCGAAAGAGGGAGGAGCAGAACCAGACTTTGCTTTGGATCCACTAGAGGACCCTTCATGGGAATTTCCCTTCCAGCTCGACTTAGAGGGATGTTTCCTCTTTTTCCTTTTTCCTTGTCCAATGGCCAGGACAGGAGTAGCAGTAATAGGAGTGGGAATGACATTTTTCCCTTTCAGACCACTTTCAGCAGCTCTAAGTAAACCTTTAAGTTTGCTCAAGGTGACTTCGTCCTTACTCAAATGATAAGTCATCTTGAACTAATCATAGCAGCGAGGTAAAGAGTGTAGGAGTATTTCAATAGCCAACTTTTCATTAACGTTCACATTTAGCTTGAGCAGACAATCCACATATCTCTTCATACGTTGCAGGTGGGTCGTGATGGACTCTACATCCTTCATCTTGGTCGTGATGAATTGAGTGACTATATCGTACCTCTATTGACACACTCTTTGATGGTACTTTTCCATCAAGTCCAAGCACATCTCGTAGGACCAATAGTCCTCATAGAACTGCTGCAGTTCGAGAGTCATAGTGGCAACCATGATACACGACACTTTGGTCGCATCTTTGACATGGGCCTTGTATTTAGAGATTTCTTCGAGAGTCTACTTTGACTTATCAATCTCGTTCAGCTCCTTATCAATGACATACTCATTTTCCTCGAATTGCAAGGCCATTCGAATATTGCGGATCCAATCATTGAAATTGGACCTATCGAATGCTACCTTCACGCAAATGCTCAAGAGCGAGAAAGTGTTGGAGGAGTTGTTGTTTGAGGAGGCTGAAAAGTTGTTTGAAGTTGACATCTGCAAAAGAAGAAGGATAGGTTTTGATTAGATAGGAATCCTTAATATAACATCCAAAATGAAATATTAAGGCTACGACTCAACACAATAATTCACAATTCGGAAGAGGGATGTCGTAATCCAATTGTAAATTATTTGAAGGTAGGTAAATGGCGATTTACCACTTCCACCACGAAAAACGAAATTTAAATAATTAGGTTTTATTAAATAAAATTCCTAGATCTTTTGAGATTCATTGAACTTTTCAATGACATGTTTAATCTCGATTATGCCCTTCAAGTTTGTCATTGGGATACCGAGGATCACAAACAATGTGTGAATAACTATGCAAATTAGCTTGGTACTCTCGTTGTCATTTACCACCTAATCAATATGATGGTTAGCCACACACGCTCCATTGATCAATGATAATTTCAAAGCAATAACCCTAAACTAGCATAAAATTTTTGAAATTAATATGAAAACTAGGGTTTGATTATTACCTCTCTTGTTATCTCGTAATAACAAGTAATCCAATGATGATCTTGACTCTCGAAAGCTTGAGTGCCCCACGCGTTGCACCTCTAATGGAATCACAAACACCAAGAGAAAAGGATGAGTGAGAGAGGGGAAAAATCGGCTATGGTTTCTCTTCTATGAAGCAGTTGCCGATTTCAAGAAGTGTAGGGGTCTTTATATACTTGTGGCTGCTAGGGTTTCCTAGTAAAACCCTAATTCCTTACTTAGGCTCCAAGAAGCCCATGAAACTTCCTTCTGGAATGCCTTGGATGATTTTTATAGGGCTTTCTATAGATTTGTTCAACCCATAAAAAAGGAGTCCACTGCAACTATCATTGATTTGCAATATCATTCCCCGTACTGTTAATCAGTTCCTTTAATCCTAAAATTAATATCAAATTAATTTCTGATTAAATACTAATTAAATAATATGATTTCCTATTAATATATAGTTCTTATAATATATTAATATATCATTAAATAACCTCTCTCTCTTCAAAGTCACCCTGTCAAGTTGCTATAGTGAAGGCAACTCAAAAGGTTCATGTTACTATCAAATCAAGTACATATCAATTATAATTATGGGCCTAGATACCTAATCCAACAGTATTTTAGGGAACTCACTAAGCTTTGTGTTTACGATTTAATGTTTAAATGTTTCAGGTACTTCTGATTTCGAAAGGGAAGGACTCGACTTGATCGTAATGCATTCATTAGAGTTTTTTCGCAATATCTGTTTTATGATCTTATACTGATGTTTTGATAATACTTGTATACTTTAATTATCTTTTGGATGGATGAATGAATGGTTTTGGTTGTTCAAAAATAAAATTTTTACTTAGCATTTTTTTAGCACGTTACACAATACGGAGGAAGGGTAAGGGGAGAAGATGGCTCGATGATGGGGGTGGGTCTAAACCGATTGTCTTCCTCTAATCGCGTTCGTGTGTTTTTCCATAGATTCAAAACCAAATCCTAGATGAAATTGGGAGTCGTGACTATGGAGGCATCTAACAATGGCATTGATGGCAAAGGCTGATAGCTATGGAAAGAGGTCGAAGGTGGTTTTTGCAAACTAAGAGAGAAAGATGGTTATGGGGAAGGAGAAGACGGTGGGATGAGGTTATATATTTTCTATTTTTAGAAAGTGTATGTATGTATGTGTTTTTGAGTTGTGTGTGTGTGTGTGTGAGAGAGAGAGAGAGAGATGTATGGGCCCTCTTTTATTTTTTTAATTATTAAAATATTAAAAATGTAAAAATAAAAATAAAAGGATATAATAGCCATTTTAATTATCAGAGGAATCAAAACCACACAAAAGATGGTTACAATGACCATCAATCCAAAAATGTTAATGTTTAGACCAAAACTTGAAAAAAAAATGCATATCCCATGAAACATTTTTTCAGTTTTGTCCAAATATAAATTAATTTAAAAGGGTATTAAAGTTTTTTTTTTTTTTTTTTTGCCTAGTTTAGGGACCAACTATACAGAAAATCAAAACCATAGGGGTTAGTAGTCTGTGTAACGAAAAAAAAAAGTTAGGGATGAAAACTACAAATCTGAATAACCATAAGGACCATTTATGTAATTTTGTTAATAAGTTAAAAGTGAATAACAAATTTAGCTACTATGGTAAGTCAAAATTTATTAGTGTTTCTACATGTTTCTCTCTCTTTTTTTAATATTCAACACCACATATATCAAGCATTAGTAGTCTATATGTATACCCATTTATGTGGAGCTCAATGGTCCTCCTGTCTTTTCTCAGTTTTGCTGTTTTTGGACATTCTTAGGAAAATTCGAAATGAGTCCCAAAGTAAAAAGTCTACAATACCCCAACTTTCACAATGGAAGAACAAGAACTTCCGAATTCTAAACAAGATTCAGAAATTCAAAACTCATCCATCATACGAACACACAAAGATTTCTTAAAACTTTATAGAAACTCATCCCTCCTTGATCTTCCTTTTCTCCAATTAATCTTTTATGCTTATAGGCATCACATTCACAAAACGATCTGTCGATCAAATCAATGAATAACACCAATCTTGTAATCATCTGGATATTAATCATTACCATCATCGTACCCATCAAGTCGAATAAAGGAACCGATCGACCAACTAATGTAGGCTTGGCAAACTATTGCACCATTCTTAGCATCGATGGTGGTGGTGTTCGTGGCCTCATTCCTAGTACAATCCTTGCATTTCTTGAATCCAAACTTCAGGTAAATGTATATTATATATTTCGAGATCTATTGTTATTGTTTTTGTTGTTGTTTATTTATATATGTTATAGAGTTTTTTTATATATATTGGATTTGTTGTTTTGAGATAGGAAATAGATGGACCAAATGCGCGACTTGCAGATTATTTTGATGTGATTGCTGGAACGAGCACTGGAGGGTTGATGACGACGATGCTTACAGCTCCTGATTATAGAAATCGTCCGCTTTATGCTGCGAGAGACATTAATGGATTCTACTTTCAACATTCGCCGAAAATATTTCCTCAACTAAGGTGAATTTTGATGATTTTTTTTTTTTAAAAATGGTGTGGTTTTGATTGAAACATTGTTTTCATTATCTTTTTCGAATCAAATACAGCGATGATGATGATACGATAATTAGTGAAAAATTTTCTACTCAACATGAAGCATGCGATGGGTAAACACCTTCAACTACTTTTGTAGTTCATGTTAAGAGGGTGTTTTGAAGTGTGTTATGAAACTGGTTATTTGATTATTACAATTTAAAGTTGTGATGAACAATTTTCAGTGTTTGGATATATCGATGTATTTTTTAAGAATTTTTGAAAGTTGATGGATCAAATAATCAGTTTCATACCAACTTCAACAAAACCGATCATTTAAAATACTTTTTGATTACCGACTTATCACTATTTTTATCTTATTTTAGAAACATTTTCCCAATGAGGAAAATTTCTAAAAATATTTTTATAGTTGATAGAAAGTAAATTGTCATAATATGAGTTTACATATTTTAACGTTAAATTATCATTTTTTTTATTAATCTTTTATAAACTTCTTACCTGATTATCACAACTTCAATAACAAATATAAAATATATATCCAAACACTATCTCTTAAAAAATGTTCTCCAATAGCGGATTATATGATTTTGTTACTTGTAAAGTCAGTTTCAAAACACACATCCAAACAACCCTAACTTTTTATTATCATCTATTTCTAAAATTAACCCGATTATTAAATACCATGAAAATAAAAGGCAAATACTTGTATAGTTGTATAGATCTAAATTGATTTTTACCATTGTAGTCGAATCAAGTTCCTGAACTCGGTAGCGGGGATGTTTGGTGAGGTCGCCGGACCAAAGTACGACGGAAAATACATCCGATCATTAACCAAGACGCTATTACGAAATATGACAATTAAACAGACGCTAACAGACATTGTTATTCCTGCTTTCGATATCAAGCATCTTCAACCTACCATCTTCTCCACAGCTCAAGTAAGCTATATAACTACTCAATTCATCGAATTGATCTTCGTTAGGGTTTGGAAGTTTAATGATAACGAGTTTCAGTTTGATTCGTTTAGGCAAAAGAAATTGCCTGGAAAGATGCGCAATTAGCGGATGTATGCATCAGCACTGCGGCAGCTCCGACGTATTTTCCGCCGTATTATTTTGAGACGAGAGATACCGATGGAACCAAACACACTTTCGATCTCATCGATGGTGGAGTTGCTGCAAACAATCCGGTAATTATTGTTTCTCTTTTTACTACAATTTTTATCTTATATGGTTTTATTTTGCAATTTTTTTCTTTTGAAGTTTTTATAATATTTTCGGTGTTTTTTCTAAAAAATAAATAACTGTTTTTTAGTTTTTAGTTACAATAGTTTTGATCCAAAAAAATATAGTGAAATAAAAAAAACTCAAATAAGTATCAAAATTACAAAAGAAAACATTTTGTGACAAAAACTGTAAAAATCAACTATATTCAAAGGACGAGCATAATTTACCCTCGACACTAACTTTGGAAATTAACATATATTAAAAACGTTTTTACAATTATTAGGGCCATAAAAGTGGTATTTTTACTTTGTACGAATAATAGCATGTATTATATAGGTTAATTAAAGAAAAGAAAAATAAATATAAAAATCAAAATATTTAATAACTTTGAATTTATAAGAAAATAAGAAAAATAATGAATTATTATAATAGAATTGTTTTTTATTTTTTAAATATAAACAAATAATTTAAAAAAAAAAAATAAAAAAAAAACTAATGAACTTTAATTTTGAGAAACTTTAAAATTAAAAAGTAAGTTGATTAATGAAATTGATATCCATTTATTACTTTATTTATTGCAATTATTACATTAAAATATTATGTGAAATTTAATACAATATAAAAACTCATAAAATAACACAATGAAAAAAAAAACTAATTCAAAATAACTATAAAATAACATTTGATAAATTGAATGAACGTTTAACAAATAACAAAAGAAAAAAATCTTTATTTATTAGAGTAGATAATGCATAAAATAAGTTAAAATCGTCTATATCTTTAATGTAAAAAACATCTTGAATAGTTTTATTTGATAATTGGAGTTATTCTTACACAACAATTTATAATTTAAAATGTTACTATTGGTAAGAAATAGTGTATACTATAAGATTTTAGGACAAAAAAGATTGTTAACTGAAAAGTACAAATCCTTTAAATTAAGTAAAAAAAATATTTTTTTTTTATTTGTAGGAATTTATATAAAAATTGATAATGTAAAGTATTATTTAAACAACAAACAATTGATAATTGACAGACGCAACTTGCCTTGACACATATACATAAGGAAGTGTTGATGGGGAAATACAGATTCGCGGGTGCAACTTCGAACCACGTTGATGCCAAAAGGATGCTTGTTCTTTCACTTGGAACCGGCATGCAAAAATTCACCGAAAGATATACAGCACAAAAGGCTGCAAGATGGGGTTTGCTGAGGTGGATTTTCGACAATGGGTCCACCCCAATTCTACATATTTACAGTGATGCCAGCTCAGATATGGTTGATATCCACGTGTCAACTCTTTTTAGAGCCTTGAACGCCGAAAAGAATTATCTACGCATTCAGGTAATCTTCCAAATTTCCAAATCCTTTTTTGCTTTTTTATGAAATACGAATATTATATTAATATGTTGATAATGGCAGGAAGAGAACTTGACAGGGGACCAAACATCGGTGGATATTTCAACAATGGAGAACATGAAAGCTTTAGAAAATATCGGGAAAAAACTGTTGCAAAAAAACGTCTCAAGATTAGACGTTGAATCAGGCAAATTCTTAGAGGTTAAAGGCGCGGGAACAAACGCTGAAGCTTTAACACATTTCGCCAGACAACTTTGTGCAGAAAGAAAACGTCGCCGTTGTACAAATTAAGGTTTCTTCCATTCGTCTTTTTTTGTCTTTATTCTACCAGATCGATCAATCTTGTAACGTCTTTTTGTTTTAACAACTTAGGATTCATTAATCATTAATCATTATAGATTCATTTTTTTTATATATAAAAATCATCATATAACATTCAAATCACATTCATCAATAAGCAATAATTGGTTTGAATTAAGGACAAAAATTTTTGTATCACTGAATTGCTAGAGTTGAGAACATGTTTCCGGAATCCTGAAATAACACATTTACCAAGGGTAAGATAGTAATTTTACTGAAGGTTAATTCTTATACATATATTGGTATAAAAATATTACTTACAGTTAATTTTTTGTGGAATTACTTGAACATTCTGGCAAATGCTTTCTTTTCTTGATCCCTCCTATCAGCAATCTGCATACACATTCGAATATAAATTTAAGTAAAAAACAAAATTTATCTCTTTGTATTAAATAAAGAAATTAAAGATGAAATTGAAATTGAAATTTGAGAGAAAGGACTTACCCTCTTCTTAGCTGCAGCTAGCTCTTTCTTTATTCCACCTGAATTAACCAAAAACATAAAAAGCATCAGATAAGATGTAATTTACTTTTTTACCCTTACTAGCAATAATAATATATTAACAATTAAAATGGTAAATTAAACTTACCATCATTAGGTTCCAACACCAGTGCTTTCTTGAAACTTTCAACAGCTGAATCAATGTCATTGAGTGCCATACTTGCCTGTTTGTTATGTAAAAAAATATGTATTTTTTATGTTTACAACTGATTTTTAATTATAATTTATAAATAAATATATTAATATATAAATATAACAACCTGGCCTTGACGAAAAAGAGCTTTCACATTATCATCCATTTCACGAAGTGCAAAGTCAGCATCCAGTAATGCTCCTTTCAGATCTCCAAGTTTCAATTTGCAAGCCTAAAATTAAATAAATAAATAAATAAATAATCCACTTTATACCCTTCTTTAAATATGTTTTATAGAATATTTTGCTGTTTAAATTGTCTTTTTAGCAACTTACAGAACTGTTTGTGAATATCTGTGATTTTGTCTTCCTTAAAGAATCAGTTTTCCCTGAAAAATCAAAAGAGCATAATATAATATGTATCAATTTACTATTAAATAAAATAATAAATAATAAAGATTTCTCATTATATTCACCTTCATCAATATCTTCCTTCTCCCAGCAGATATCCAAGTAACGCAAAGCCTTACGATACTTCCTAAGGGCATTTTTGTAATCTTGCTTCTACAAAATGCAAAAACAACCACAAAAAATATCATTTTTTATAAAGGGGTCAAAATGTTGCGTGTTTATGCAAATAACATTTTATACTTATCTGTATAAAAGACAGTATTTTGACAACAGTTTTGGAAAAGACTTATTAATTTTACTATGAGGTGAAACCCTTTAAACAATAAAAGGGCAAAAACAGAAAGTTAAGTCAAAACTTTTGATTTAGATTGTAGAATTATAGAATGATAAAGTTTAGGTTGTATAATGTTGTGTCTTTTTATCAATTAACCCTAAAGAATATACAAAATTACATTATCCAAGTAATAAAATTTAGAGTACCTTAAACTGTTCATTCCCAAAAGTTTTAATGGCATCAACAGCAGTCATCCACCATGAAACTTCTTCAGGTTTAACATCAAGATCAAGAGGCCAATCAGGATAAGTATCACCATCTTTAAAAAAGTCACAAACACCATCATCTTCTCCTTCTAGAAGCTCCCCACAATCTTGTATAACAACTTCTTGAGTAGGTAAATCGTTTTCTACAGTTGTAGTATGCTCAACTGATCTAACAACTCCCATTCCTTTTATAACTCTACCAAAAACTACATGTTTCCCATCTAAATGAGATGTACGTGTGGTTGTGATGAAAAATTGAGAGCCATTTGTGTTTGGACCAGAATTGGCCATTGATAGCATTCCTTTTCTTTCATGTTTCAATTCGAAATTCTCATCTTCAAATTTTAAACCATAGATTGATTCTCCTCCTGTGCCATTTCGAGCAGATATATCGCCTCCTTGAATCATGAAACCTTTGATCACACGATGAAAACATGATCCCTGCAAGTTATGATCAGACAATAAGATAATGGTGTTCAACTTAGATATGTGTGTACTTGTTTGATTATTGTATTTGGTTCTCTGTTTTTCATGAATATGTTTGATTTTGTAAGTTTTGATGTAGGATTGGTTGATTTGCTAATGGTATGTGTTATACAAAGTAGAAAAGGAACATAAGGCATGTATGAATTATATGAATAAACTTGGGATTAAGCCTATACAAGCTTTACATGATATCAAGTTGCACTTAGAGTTTGACAGATGAGAGACATTAATTATAAATTGGCATTAAAAAGTTCAATAGAAAGTCTCTTGCTTGTCAAACTGAAAAAAAAAAAAAAAAAAAAAAAAAGGCTTTCATTCATATAATTCATACGAATTTGAGGAACCCTAACAAAGAGAAAATCAAAATATTCGATTAGCTTGTTGAATCGCAAGGAAACTCATTGAGTGAAGGACATAAAACTTGCAAAACACATACGATTTTCAAATGAACAACTAGTAGAACAGATAGAATCAGGTTTCTGAGAAAACTAAAACTACAAACAACCAATCATAGGTAAAAAATTACGATATCAAACATATTTGCGAAAATACAGAATCATATATAGTAAACAGATAGAAAGGCTATCAAGTGTTGATGAACAAGATTATACCTTCAAATGGAGGGGAACACCAGTGTTAGGACCAATCCCCTTCTCTCCAGTACAAAGAGCCCTAAAATTCTCAGCAGTTTTGGGAACAATGTCTTTGTATAGCTCCACAACCAATCTCCCTTCAAGCTCACCTCCGATGCTTATATCCAAATAACACCGCGGATTCGCCATTTTTTTTTCTTTTCACAGAAGCCTCAAACAACACGAAAGAGAACTTAAAACCCTAGTAAACCACTTCGCTTCCTCTTCCGCCCGCTATTTATTTTGAAAGTTGTTAGGGGTTGATGCTAAGATACGCGGGGTACATTGTAGCACCCCTGTTGATAGGCTATGATCAGATGGGAAACGGAACAGGAAAAAGTGGTGTGCTCAAGGTGTTGGACGGTTGGATTTGATTTGATGAAGTAATCGGACGGTTGAGGAGGAAAGTGGAGAAAAGACGTTCGAGAATAAGGAGATTATCGTCGTATGATTTGACGTTGACGTGACCCTCGTGTGGATGTCGGGTTTTGATCCGATATGTGATACGGGTTGTCGGATATTTGGGTCCACCAACCTCATGACTTGGACGAGACATTGGAAAAAATTCAAGAGTGGTAAATATTTTAGGTTTTAGGGTTTCTAATACGATACAATTGGTGGAACCCATTTTGAATTATAGTACAAAAACCATTAAAAAGCATTCCATGAATAGGATTTGGGTTAAATGTTGGGATGTTCACAAAATACCAAGGAATCAAATATTTGTATCAACAAAAGTTAAAATAATTATTATTAGCTTTTCAAAGTTGATTAGTTGTAAAATATTTTTTGTTAAGGAGGCATTTTGAAACCGGTCGAGATAAGCTACTCAAAATTACTAATAAATTATCTCATGTTAGTCTAGATCATAACCTCATTCACAACCAAACCAAACCAAAAATCTATAGAAAAAAAAAATTAATTTATCTTTTATTTACCTACACAACCCAACTAAATCCACACATTCATTCTCATTAACAACCCAACTCAAATCATTTTTTTATTAAATAAATATAACTTATAACTTTTTTTATTATATTAAAATGATTTAAAGAATTTTTTTGGAATTAATGATTTATAACAAAAAATAAAATAATCCACTCTACTTTGGAAAAACAAATCGCTAGCTGAAAAAAAAAATCCTAAAAGATTAAAATAAAGAATGAAATTGGATGTGAAAATATTACTAATTATAAATAAAAATAAACAATAATTGTTGATAATTTTTATATAATTTAAAACTAGATAACGAAACAATAATTATTATTAGGAAAAAAAAATAGGCTTCAAATGAATTTGTTGATATAATAATGAGGATATATAATAAAATATCTTACAATTCGGAGCTTATGCACAAAAAATAGATTCATATTCACAACCAAAACCAACCCAACTATCTATTAAAAAATTAATTTATCTCTTTCACCTATACAACTCAATTAAATCCAATTTTTCACACCTATTAGCAAGCGAACCCAAACCAAAGTATTATATTAATTATGATTATTTTTTATTATATTATATCAGCTACATATTATGTTTTATTAAATTTATAACTTAATTTTGTTATTATATTTAAGATTATACTGACAATATAAAAAAATTATTAAAAAAAACTTTTAAAATATATCAATATTGATCTTTATTCGTAGATAAAATTATTTTACGTATTTTAGTATATTTTGTTATTTTTTAATAAAAGTAAAACAAAATAAGTTACAAAATAATGTTTAAATAAAAAGAATATAAACAAATAAAAAAGAAAAAAGAAAAGAAAATGGCAACCATGGTTACGCCATTGAGTTTTAAGCTTTTTTTTCTTTTTTTTTTGCCTTTTTTAATTTTCTTTTAATCTTTAACCCAACTAACTAAAACAATTGATCACCAATAGGAGTAACCTAAGGTTTTAATGAGTTTATCAATTTTTTATAATATATGAAACAACTTTCTGTGCAATTATTCATGGATAGTAATAGTATAAAAACTTTTATCGATGTAAAGAAATTTTTTTTAAGCCATGAATTTTTATTTAAAAAAAAACAAAAAAGCTTTAGTAAGAAGCTAAATGCGAAATGGAACTATTACATCATATAGTTTAAAATTTGATTTTGAAGCCATAGAATAGATAATTTAAGTTTCCAATTGAACACCCAAATAAAAGAAAAAACAACAGTATCTTCAAATAACCTATCTAGTATAGGTCTCGATTGGTCAAGCACGCACTAATTTCACACTAATTTCTGAAGTTCCATAGAAACCACTAGTTTGTGTAGATAATAAGTTTCCAAATATCCTTCATATTTATGTCACACCCCCCAGCTAATGCAGAAATTAGTGTCGGACTATTTTGCCCTTGATTTGCAATCTGTTTATTACGTGATGGGTTAATTTCTTTACAAAATGAAATTGTTTCTAGCTTCTACATAATGATAGCCAATTTTGCATTGCTTAAATTATAAATGTGGTAAACTACACCCAAATAGTTGATTTCATTATCCCACTTTCATCATCTTCTGAACAATATTTGTTACACATTTACAATATTTTGATTGGAAAAATTTGACTTCATTAATCCACTCCTTATGTCATTATTTTCTTACATGTTTCTGTTATAAATTTTGGTTTCTTGCTTTTATATCATAAATCTAATATTTTTAAAGGGTTTCATGCGAACATATGGCAAGAAGTTCAATTGGAAAAGATGATTTTGGGTATTTTATAAATTAAGTTAAAATGTTATAAGTAGCTTGATAAAACCTACAAAACACAAGAACATTATGTTCTTGGGGTATATATGGATTTAGTATATTAACCATACATATCTACCTAAGGAGGAAGATTGATCCACATTGATGTTCATATTTTACTTTTTGAAAGATATATTTGTATACAATGTATATCCTCTCATCTCTATCATAACAAAAAGGGCCAAAACTTGTTTTGAGTTATCAGCCCATCAGATGGTTGCTGATGATCTTCTATTATTTGTATTTTTTTTTATTAATAACCTAAAATGTCTACAAAATTAAAAATTTCCAGCTTCTACACAAAGGCGTGATGTACGTTTCTATTACTTGATATGAGTACAACTAAAAAAAAGGAAAAAGAAAGTTTGTTGGTATTATTGTTATGAGCGTAGGTTAAAAAAAGAAATAAAAAACTAATAAAAGTGTGTTGTTATTTGTTGTTGAGAGTTCACTTTCAAAACCACGAAAAAGAAAATACAATTTAATTTGTTTTTTTCGAAGTGTTATTCTTATAATAAATTGCCAAATTTTCCCATTTTAAATAAAATTCAAGTAACATACTTTTTATGTGTGTATGTATTCATGTGTGTATGTGATGTAAAAAAAAAGATACAAAAATGTCTCTTAAAACAATTAAAGATTTGTATACTTACAAAAAAAAAAAAAAAAAAAAAAAAAAAAAAAAAAACTAATTCCAATAATGTAGCATTTTTGTTTCATGTGTTAGTCCTATTTAAAAAACAAGTTCCAACAATGATCCTTAGAAATTGAAACTTTTAAAAAATGGTTTCTATAATAATATTAATTATATAAATAGTACTTGCAAAGGATAAGTATTGTATCTAATAGTATTTAATGGTGTCAATAACAGTTAAAAAAGCTCAAGAAACCTAGAAATTGCAGTTGATACATGTTAGATTAAACTCAAAGTACATTGATATTAACCAAATATGTTCGTAACAAAAATGCAAAGTGCGCTGTCATACACTTACAATTCCTTACTATTAGTACATATTAAAAAATAAAAGAAAATAAATATCAAGTAGAATGCTATTTGATAAATAATTGGAGAAAAACCTTAATAAAAGTCCATGGCTATTCCTTGGTATGACTACAAATATAAAACTAAGTTATGATATTTGTGCTATGAATACATGTAAACAAAAAATAAATAAATAAAATAAAAATAAAAATAAAATGTCAAATTGACAAAAATTGGCCTACATTAAATTAGTAAAATTGATGAAATTGACAAAAATATTCAAAACGAAACTTTAAAGGGATAAAATTATACTTCCTATTTTTGTTTAAGTGGTACAAATTCTGAACAATAAAAAAATAAAGAACCGACAATAATATGATCAAACTGGACAAAGAGACTAAAATAATCATTTTAACAAAATAAATCAACATGTAAATTTTAAATGTTTTATATCATCACTGTTTTTTTTTTTTTTTTTTTTTTTTTTTTTTTTTTTTTTTTTTTTTTTTTTAATAAGTACGTCAAATTAAGCAATATAATAAAATGATAAGAATCCCATAATTTAAAAAAACAAAATTGTCATTTTAACTATAAAAAGGATAAATACTCAATTTTAGAGATTTATAAAACTTGTACAACTTTATTATTTAATTCAATTTTTATTTTTGTTTTATTTAAATTTATATTGTATTATACAAAAAGATAATTTGCTAACATATTTACAAATACCAATTGCCTATCGAATATTCAAAACATTATGCTTTCGTAATTTCAACCGGTCATTATATCATTATAAAATTATTAAGAAAACATATATATTTATTAATTATTATTTTTTTATAATCATTTCTCACTAATAAATTATGAAAGTTATAATTTAGTTAAGATTATTTTTAACTTTCTCATATGTAATGTTCACGGTTATTTATTTATTGATAACCAAAAACCAATATATCCATTATAATTTTCAAAACAACGAAAATATTTTTGTTAGGTAAATAGTAAGTCGAGTTTCTTGTTGTTTGGTTATTTATTTATTAATGTAACATTAATAATTGTATCGAATGTGTGAAATAAATCCTTCATATTTAACTATCAGATGTTCTGGATAATTAACCCACAATTAAGCATACCAAAAGATTAACCATAATTATCAGTTTTTTAAGTTCTTGAACATAGATCTACAATGAAAAAATGGTTAACTCGTTTTTTGAGTTTGGTTATTTTTAAACGATTTCTACTTCATGAATGCCTTTTAAACTTAAAACGCTTCATTATTGAATTCCAAAACCATGTAGACATGTAGTCTTTCGATGTAATTGGAAAAGGACCGAAAAGGAAATTAGAATTAAAGTCTTGAACAAACATCAAATACATCCAATATCTAGTTGACGAGCCTTCTCTATTAACCTTCTATTTTT